AATTCAGCGAAATTCAGGGGGGGGGAAATGGATAACCAGGCTGGAAACAGCTGATCGCCACGGTCATGACGCGTCGACCCTTTACCGCCTAATCATCTGCCGGGATGACGACTGTATTTTCGTGGAAATGTCACTTAGCACGTCCCTGCTTCTGCTGTTCTTTGACAAGCTATGAATTTCATCAGGCGTAGACTCGTACGCTTCCTCATTGGAGCGGTTAGCAAGGAGCCTATTTCGGGCGTTTTTGGCAGTTTTGTCCCGTTTTGCTTTAATGCCGTATCAGTCCACTGCTCTCGTAGAACTAACTTACCATTACTTGAAATTACTTGAAAAGGATCAGAATTTTGTAAAAAAGCAAATATTTTTGTGGAAAGGGTGTAGATAGTGTCGAGGTTTAGTGTGTCAGTATAAACGGTCCTCTGCACATGCTTTACGTGGGTGTGTGGCGATTGTCGACGATAAGTGGGTCGTCGCGCCGGTGGGCGGAGCGAGGCGGCGTGGCGGCCGCCGCGTACGAGTTTTGTTGCGTGGCGTTCAAATTGTTAAAGGGTTGACGATCCCTTTAACAATTTGAAAGAGTCATCCTATTTTGGTTATCTTTTTCCTATTATGTCTTTCCTATCCTATTTCCTATTTTCTTGTTATGATTATTGACTATTACTCGTACTCTTGAGGTGGCCTTAAATTCAAACCATTGTGGATCGCACCCAAATTTCCAGTGTTCGTCATCGGGAAGCCTCTTTTGTTGTTACCTCAGAACAGAAAAGTAGGGGATTTTGCCGATTTTACCTTCATTGCTGGAAGTTGGGCATACTTTAGTGATATAAATTATCTCTCTGCTCCTTGACTGTCTTTCGCTTGATAGCGAAATACTCGTTTCCGCTCATCCCCAAGTTTATTCGCAAGTCTACTTTTTTATGACGCGTAACTTTTGTGAATGGAGAGAAAAGTATCGCATTGCAATGTGGGACAGAGCTGCTGGGAAATGTCTACTTGCCACAGTTGTTACATTTGCTGCTACATTCGCATTGTTCTATTGCTCACATTGTTACAGTGAATTATGTTATGTTATTATGGTTGCTGTTTGCTGTTCCACATGAGCCCGGACCTGCATATTTACTACTCTCCAGATGTTATAGCGGTGGGCTTTCCCGTGCTTCTTTCTCGCAATCTGATTCCAATATCATATTTCAGAAGGCCTGTCGTGTGGGGCTTCGTGCCTTGGTTGCTGATGGGGTCCACGACCTTCAGCCGCAGATCACAAACAAGCGTGGGCAACTTTACACCGTGCACGGAGTGGCGCCAGGCCTCAGGGATTTCCGCCTTTCGCGATTGCATTAAGGTGAGATTCTGCTTGCTTGATATCGACATGGTACTGTGCGCCCTGTCTCGTTCTTGCTGTCAATTCCTTTGCTTGGTTCCAGGAAAAATCGGAAAAAACCAATGTATCTCTCGAGCGGATACCTTTCATGTACGAGCGGATCTTTCGGGCAGTGAGGGATGCCATCATCGCAGCTGGCGGACCAGAGGACATACGAATTGTATTGGACTTTGAGAAAGCCGCCATTAACGCGGCCAGGAGGTGCTTCCCAAGCGCATCAACGGAGGGGTGCGCTTTCCATGCGCATGGAACAAACAAAGAGATGATCTTGGGTTGCTCCCGCAGGTAAGGGGGACCCAGCGGTGTAGGAGGATTGAAAGCTGGTGGAACACTATAAAGGGGCTCATCTTTTTACCACCACACCTACACCGTCGGGTCCCCGCGCGTTTCCAACCACCAGTTCCTAGGGGACATGGTGCGTATGGGTTCTGCGCACAGTTCCTCGACTACCTTCAGCGCAACTGGTACGAGGGCCCTTTCAGGACATGTGGAACAAATGGAACAAGAAAAGTCTCCGCACCACTAATGTAGCCGAAGCCTTCAACAGGTTTGTTCGTGACGGTTATGAAACGCTTTCGTGTCTCATAATATCTGATGACTTTCAGAGAACTGGGAGTTGTGCTTGGAGTGAGGTACCCCCCCCCCCCTATGGCGGACCTCATTCTCGCACTGAACGACTTCGTGGGGAAGGCAGTGGAACACTCGACAACGCTGACCGGGTCAGTTTCCACTCCAGCTGTTACCCACATCTCCTTCTCAATACTATTTATTTACAGGGGAACCGAAGCGTGTTCGCCCGGAGGATATCCAGCGACGTCGTCGCGTCGCCAGAGAGATGGCCCGGTTCAAGGCCATCCTTCGCCGCAACACCTTCATTCGGACGGCAACGATAACTACTTATTGTCGCCGAATGTCGCAGTTCATTACCGAACAATCGCGTACTAAAGTGTGCGTCTCCTATCCTCTCTTCCGATCTTCTCGCCTCTCTCTCTCTCTGTCTCACTTCGGTTTCTCTTCTACGATAATTCAACGCCCAACTATCCAACGCCCAACTGATGAAGTGGCATGACTTGCATTTTTCAGGAACATGGAAGCAGGCGATGCCATGGAGGGACGGACGATGCTGCGGAAGACACAACTATGCAATCGCGATCTATGGACGAACGGCGAAGACAAAACGACGACGACATCTTTGTAAGCAGGGCACAGCATCGTTGAGAAAATCTTATCAAGGATGGCACTCGGGCATTAGAGGGGAGGGGGGAGGGGTGGGGGTTTGTGGGGTGACAAATGGGGAATGACGCCAGCATTGGAGGAAAAAAGTTTAGGGGACTATCTTCCAAAACCGACACTCCCCAAACAGAAGCTGTACCCTGCTCTTGCTTGTATGTTTGTACTTGTATTTATCTTCTCTGCACCTCATTTCCTGTTAGTTTACAATAAAGCTTTACACTCCTGCAAACGTGAAGAGCGGCATACAACAGTAGAGGTTCACAAACAGATGGCAG